CCAGTTCCGAACAGGTAGTGAAGATTAGAGCATTTCATGCCTGGTTTTGCTCCCAGCTGATAGTCAGAGTTACTGGTTTGGCTGAAAAGGTCTGAACCGGCTGAATCCCACCTGTGGGAGAAATACTAGCAAACTGAATGCAGCATTTAGGCCAATTGAAACATCTCCAAAACTAAGTGTCCAGCAGCCTTTTTTCTAAGTTATACAGGTAGCCCTCGATATACAACTACAATTGAACCTGAAATTTTTGCCATTGAGTGACACAGGTTAAGTGAGTTTTCCTCCGGAAGCTTCATCAGCTTGGGCAGGATGGGGGGAGATGAAAGGTTAAGTCCTGACAGGATGAAGGGGAGGGGGAAACCATCCTGTCAGAATGAACAAAGCCTTCCACCTCCCAAACCATTCTGCCAAAGCTTGTTGAAGCTTCTTTAGATAAGAAGCGAAACCACTTCAAGGAAAAACAAAGTCCAGTTGCCTTTTGAAAAAACACCTTTGAGAGAACCCAACCCTCCCTACCATGCCATTAGCTGAAGACATGTCCCGTCCCCCACCTTCCCTGTCGATACCTGCAGCAGGCCTATGCAAATAGGCAAACACAGTCCCTCTCTCTCTCTCTCTCTCTCTCTCCAGTGCTGGAGATTCAACCAGGCACGGAGGACCTGCTTTGCTTCAGCATGGTAAGAGATTGTGGCATTATTTTATGGAGGAAGGGTTGAGGGTGGATGGATGGGAAATAACTCCTAAGACAGTGGCATCAAACTCGATTTCATGGACAGCCGCATCAGGGTTGCGTTTGACTTCGGGCGCTGGGGTGGGTGTGGCCAGAGTGGATGTGGCCAGCCGAGTGCCTGGGGAGGACTGAGCACTCTGCCAGCGAAAACTGGCTCCTGAGCTCTGTTTTCGGCTGCAGCTGTCTCCTGCAACCCTCTGCTAGCAAAACTGGAGCTTGGGAGGAACATTTGAGTGTACAAAAGAGCATCAGGGAACTTTTGAATTAGCTCCACTTCTCCTCAGTCTGTCAATGCTGCTAAAGGTCAATACATGGGCCCTTTGATGATTGGGAGATCTGGAATGCTCAAAAATTAAGGAATATGTTGATGACATTTTCATTCTCATTCTCTCTACAGAATATATTTGGGAAGAGTAAGGCTGCGTGAGTAACAACCTCTATGGAATGTTATGGCATAAAGTCAGACCAAGAAATATAGTGGAATAAACTGGAATAAGCTATGGGCATTTAAGAAGAGATCAGACGAGAGAGCAGGGTATCTTAGAAGGTCTTGTAACAAAATAGCAATAGCCCTTAGATTTACATACTGCTTCACAGGGCTTTACATCCCCTTCTAAGCGGTTTTACAGAGTCAGCCATTTTCCCCCAACAATCTGAGTCCTCATTTGACCGACCTTGGAAGGACGGAAAGCTGAATCAACCTTGAGCCGATGAGAATCGAACTGCCAAACTGCAGGCAGCCGGCAGTCAGCAGAATTAGCTTGCAATACTGCATTCTTATCAGCTTCAAGACCATCGTTAATTCACTGATTTTACCATCTTCTGATGCAGGATGGTGCCTTCATTCCAATTAGGATTCCAGTATAAGAAGGCTTCCTAACCACACTCTTTCTGCGTGAAAGAATAAGATGTTGGTTGCCATCTAGCATTCTTCATGTTCTTCATTCTTCCTGTCTCTGCGTAGCTTTCCCGAAATCTTCTAAAAACTTAGTGGAAACCAGTTGAGCATGGCTTCAGGTTGGAGACTAAATGGGGCAAGGGAGGAGGAGGTGCCGTGCATGCCTTCTTGAACTCTTGCGGATATAAATTGACCCAATGAAATACAGCCCAAGTTAATGGTCAGGTTTTCTTTGCTCTGGCAAGAGAATGAGATGGTAGGCAGGTTGCAAGTATTTTTAGTGACGAACGTAGGAAATAGGAACCTTTCAGGACGTCTCTAAATTCGCCATCTTTGTCTGTGGTCCTTAAAGGTGTGAACTTCCACCGGAACCTCCAAAGAGACCTGGTAAGTGAGATTCCATCCCATCAGAGAACGATCCTGTGATTTTTCATTCTGAAAGTTCAACTTCCTTATCAAGCACCATACTTGGCATCTTTCACAGTTTACAGAAAAGTTTTCACTTTTCATTAACCGCTTAAGAGACCTCCTAAAATCAGACTTGGATCTGGGAGTGAAATCCACTTACCTTTGCTATCAGTTTGGTAGCAATGTGAGCATGCACACGTCCATTCGTGCCACCTCCATGCATGCACAGGACCTTCTGTGCATGCGCAGAGCGCGCCTGAATCGGTAGAAGTTTTTTTTACTACTGGTTCGGGCGATAGTAACTAACAGGTAGCTTTTCAACTAACCGGTAGTAGTTCGTTACTAGTAACAAACTACTAACTAGTAGTAGTTAGTAGTAACTAACTACTAACTAGTAGCTTTTCACCCCTGCTTGGATCCCAGTCAGCAAAATTGCAGTATTTCTCTAAATGATACCATCAAACTAGGGGGACCTTATGGGAAAAAAACTTTGTAGCCCAAGATTTGGGGGAATGATAGTCAGGAATGTTTGTTGATTCCATCATGCCCATCCAGCAAAATTATATCTCCAATAATGCCTCATTGTAGTAGAACAGGGGTGTCAAACTCAATTTCATTGAGGGCCACATCAGGATTGGGTTTGACTTTGGAGGGCCGAGGGGGATGTGGGCATGGTCAGTTTGTGTTCTCACGTCTGTCTTTCTTCCGCTGCTTTTGTGGGCCTAAAAACTGTAATACGTAAAGGCTGAGCCCTTTGGGACTTTCCAGTCTGATGACTTCGGAATTGTTTTTAGTCATTCTGGAAAGTTCTGTGCTTTCTGATACAGAGATAATGCAAATTGTTGGCTTTGTTCGCGTCTTTCTCTTCCCCTGTTTTTGCCTGCCTTTTGTTCCCTTTCTAAGTTAGTTTTTTTTCTCCTGCTTGCTAATGTTTAACATATAAAAGGCCCAAGTATAATTTCCCCTAGCAGATCAGACTAGCCTTAGTACTTCTTCTGATCTGGATCTATGATGTCAAGCATTATGACAGACCAACCAGCATAACAGTGGGTGGGAGGGTACAGTCATTATAAGTGTGAAGAGAGAAAAAACTCATTGTGTGTTCTGACCGAGGCTTTCCAAGAGCCTAAAGCAAACTCCTTGTCCCAACAAAAAAACCCTTTTATTAATTGACTCTGAATTCTGCTAATTCGCATCCAGCAAAGTCTTTCAAGGGAGGATTTACGGTCACAGACCTTATCTGGCTTGGAGAGCTGCCAAGCCGATATCTGCAGAACTTGGAAAGGAATCTCGGAGAGTCACGACCAATTAAGCGAACTAATTGTCTCCTGAAAACTCCACTCCCCTTTCATTCCTCTTTTATTTCATCTGGGAGGGGCCATTCATCATCCATCTGGGGCCTTATTCCCAAGTCAACCCCTGTTCTTTAGCTGTTTCCTTCATCTGACAGCTCTGCGCATGCGCACACTGGGAACAGGCTCCAGCTGTACGTCTGCCTCACTGATGTCTGACTCTGAAGGCAGCTGATAACTGTCAGATGGCCCTGGCCCCCTCTCTGCCTCTGACACAGAGTCCTCCCCAGACTTCAAGACTGGCCCATGTTTCTCCCCAACCACCTCACTGTCCCAATTGGCTGACAGCTCTGCTGGCCACTGGTGGGCCACAATATTGTGTTGCTCAAGTTAACGCAATGAATGCAATTGAGCCAACCTTTTTTGTGTGTTTCAGACATCCAGGAGGAGGTGGTAAGTACACGGATTTCCCCAAAACCTATGACCACTTTTCATACTTAATGTTGCAGCATCCCCATGATTGTGTGATTAAAATTCAGGCGCTTGGTAATTGGTGTGTATTTATGAACCCTGCAATGTCCCAGGGTCGTGGGATTGCCATGTGTCACCTTCCCAGCTGTCTTATGACAAGCTAAGTCAGGGGGGGGGGGAGCCAGATTCACTTAACACCTGTAGTGATTTGCTTAACAACTATGGCTAAAGGTTTGTAAAACAGGGCAAACTCACTCAACAATGGCCTTGCTTAA